TAAAACAAAATACACCTTCTTTTCAAGTGCACATGGACCATTCTCCAAAACAGATCATGTGAGGCCACAAAATAAGTCTCAACAAATTCAAAAATACTGAAGTCATACCATGCATCTTTTCTGACCACAACACTATGAAACTAGAAACCAACCACAAGAAAAAAGTCTGGAAAGAACACAAATACATGGAGGTTAAGTAACATACTAAACAATGAATGGATCAGCCAAGAAATCAAAGAGAAAAGAAAAAAAAATACATGGAGACAAATGAAAATGAAAACCCAATGGTCCTAAATCTTTGGGATGTACCAAAAGCTATTCTAAGAGGAAGTTTATAGCAATACAGGCCTGCCTCAAGAAGCAAGAAAAATTGCAAACAATGTAACTTTACACCTAGGGGAGCTAGAAAAAAACCCAAACAAAACCAAAACCAGCAGAAAGAAGGAAATACTAAAGATTAGAGCAGAAATAAATGAAATAGAAAATTAAAAAACCAACAGATCAGGAGATGGTTCTTTGAAAAGATCAACCCAATTGATAAACCTCTAGCCAGACACAGCAAAAATAAAAAAGAGAGGACTCAAACTCAAAAATGAAAGAGGAGAAATAACAACTGACACCACAAAAATAAAAAAGAATTATAAGAGAATATTATGAAAAATTATATGCCAACATGTGGGACAACCTAGAAGAAATTAGATAAATTCCTAGAAACGTATAACCTCCCAAAACTGAATGAGGAAGAAATAGAAAATTTGAACTGACCAATTACCAGCAACAAAATTGAATCCGTAATCAAAAATCTCCCAACAAATAAAAGTCCAGGACCAGACAGCTTCACAGGTGAATTCTACTGAACATTTAAAGAAGAGCTAATACCTATTCTCAAACTTTCCTAAAGAATAGAGGAGGAATGAAAGCTTCCAAATTCATTCTCTGAAGCCCTCATTACCCTGATACCAAAATCAGATAAAGACACTATGAAAAAAGAGAACTACAGGCCAATATCCCTGATGAACATTCATGCAAAAATCCACAACAAAACACTGGCAAACCAAATTCAACAATACATTAAAAAAAATCACTCACCACGATCAAATGGGATTTATTCCCGGAATACAAGGGTGGTTCACATTTGCAAATCAGTATGCTACATCACATCAATAAGAGAAAGGATAAAAACCATATGATCATTTCAAAAGAAGCAGAAAAAGCATTTGACCAAGTGCAATATCCATTCATGACAAAAACCCTCAACAATGTAGGTTTAGAGGGAACATAACTCAACATAATAAAGGCCACATATGAAAAACCCACAGCTAACATCATACTCAACAGTGAAAAACAGATTTGTTCCCCTGAGATCAGAAACAAGACAAGGATGTCCACTCTCACTTTTATTCAACACAGTACTAGAAATCCTAGCCTGGGCAATCAGACAAGAAAAAGAAGTGAAAAGCATCCAAATTGGTAAGGAAGAAGTAAAACTTTCATTATCTGTAGATGACATAATACTATGTATAGAGAACCCTAAAGACTCCAACAGAAAACTACTAGAACTGATAAATGAATTCAGTAAGGTCGCATGATACAAAATCAATATACAGAAAACCACTGCATTCCTATACACTAATAATGAGGTAGCAGAAAGAGAAGTTAACAAAACAATCCCACTTACAATTGCACCAAAAATAATAAAATACCTAGGAATAAACTTAAACCAAGTAGGTGAAAGATCTAAAGTCTGAAAACTATAAAACACTCATGAAAGAAATTGAAGACACAAACAAATGGCAAGATATTCCATGCTCATAGATTGGGAGAATAAATATTGTTAAAATGTCCATATCACCCAAAGCAATCTACAGATTTAATGCAATCCCTATCAAAATACCAACAACATTTTTCACAGAACTAGAACAAACAATCCTAAAATTTATATAGGACCACAAAAGACCCTGAATAGCCAAAGCAATCTTGAAAAAGAAGAACAAAACTGGAGGTATCACAATCCCAGATTTCAAGTTACACTACAAAGCTGTAGTAATCAAATCAGTATGGTACTGGCACAAAAACAGACAGATCAATGGAACAGAAGAGAGAGAGACCAGAAATCAACCCATGATATGATCTATTAATCTTCAGTAAAGGAGGCAAGAATATGCAGTGGGAAAGAGTCTCCTCAACAAATGTTGCTGGGAAAACTAGACAGCTACATGCAAAAGAATGAAAGTGGCCCACTTTCTTACCCATACACAAAAATAAACTCAAAATGGATTAAGGACCTAAATGTGAGACCTGAAACCATAAAAATCCTAGAAGAGAGCACAGGCAGTAATGTCTCTGACATCAGCCATAGCAACATTTTTCTAGATACATCTCCTGAGGCAATGGAAACAAAAGCAAAAAAATAAACTACTGGGACTACATCAGCGTAAAAAGCTGCACAGCAAGGGAAACAATCAACAAAGTTAAAAGACAACCTACTGAATGGGAAAAGATATTTGCAAATGACATATCTGATAAAAGGTTAGTATCCAAAATATATAAAGAACTTTTACAACTCAACACCAAAAACCCCCAATAATCCAATTAAAAATGGGTAGAAGAATGAAAGACATTTCTCCAGAAAAGATACACAAAATGGCCAACAGACACATGAAAAGATGCTCAACATCCTCCTCATCAGGGAAATGCAAATCGAAACCACAGTGAGATATCACCTCACACCTGTCAGAATGGCTAAAATCAAAACCATAAGAAACAAGTGTTGGTGAGGATATGGAGAAGAAGGAACACTCATGCACTGTAGGTGGGATTACAAACTGGTATAGCCACTGTGGAAAACAGTATGGAAGTTCCTCAAAAAATTAAAAATAGAACTAACAATATGACCCAGAAATCATGCTACTGGGTATTTACCCAAAGAATCTGAAAACATTAACTTGGAAAGATATATGCACCCCTATGTTTATTGCAACATTATTTATAATAGCCAAATTATGGAAGCAATCCCAGTGTCCACTGATAGATGAATGGATAAAGAAAAAGTGTGTAGTAGGAAGGGAAAAATGAAGGGGGTGAAATCGGAGGGGGAGACAAACCATGAGACTATGGACTCTGAGAAAAAAACTGAGGGTTTTAGAGGGGAGGGGGTGGGGGGTTGGGTTAGCCTGGTGATGGGTATTAAAGAGGGCACGTTCTGCACGGAGCACTGGGTGTTATAATGAATCATGGAACACTACATCAAAAAGTAATGATGTAATGAATGGTGACTAACATAATAAAATAAAATTAAAAAAAAGAAAAAGTGGTGTGTGTCTACACACACACACACACACACACACACACACACGCATGCACACAATGGAATATTACTTAGCCATAAAAAATGAAATCTTGCCATTTGCAATAATGCAGATAGATCTACAGGGTATAAAGCTAAGTGAAGTAAGTCCGAGAAAGAAAAATACCATACATTTCACTCCCATGTGAAATTTAAGAAATGAACAAAGAAAAAAAACCAGACTCTTAACTATAGAGAGGTGATAGCAGAGGGGCAGTGGAAGGGGGGATGGGGGAAATAGGTGAAGGGGATTAAGATTACTTGTCTAGATGAGCACTGAGTAGTGTACAGAACTGTTGAATCACTCTATTATACACGTGACACTGATATAACACTGTGTATCAATTATACTGGAATTAAAATGAATAGAATTCTGTTCTGTTCTACATCTCAGATGTCTGTTAGATATTAAAGAAGCAATTGAACATACAAGTCTGGATTTGTGGGAGTGCATCAGGATTGGGAACCAGTGGGGCTGGGTAGGTGCAGAGGTGAAGGGACCATGGTGTCTGAAGGAAGATTTTCAGAGGACATGGAGTTAATGGTGATGCTCAGAGATGAGGGACGAGCGTGGGAGCAAATGGCTAAAGTGGGGTGGAAGTGAGTAGTCAAGGAGCGGAGGCCAGATGCTGGAGGGACTGTCCCCAGGGAGCGAAGTTGCCAAGAACGGTGGCAGGAGTAGAGGCCCAAAAGACGACTGTAGACAAGAAGCCACATGCTCACAAACGGAGGTGCTTCTTGACAAACAGTAAAGATCCTACACTTCCCCCATGACCCCACAAGCCGGGGATGGTGGAGAGGAGCGCGCTAGAGATAGAAAGATATGTGGGTGTGAGAGCAAGGCATCTGGGGGTGCCTGTCTGTCCCGAGCCCCAGAGTTCCTAGGATGCCATACGGCAGCCGGAGCAGAAGCCAGATGGGAGGCTGGTTGGGAACGCTCCAGCTTTTGGGTATTGCTACTACCAGAGGAGGCCGCTTTGAAGTCATGAAAGTCTGTTAGGACAGGACGTCTACAGAGCTCGTGGGAGGGAAGGGGAGGAAATTCCTGGAGGAAGGCAGATGACGAGGAGGAAGGAGGGGCTGCAGCATCTGAAGAGTCCCCGCTCTGCAGGAAGCCTCAGCTGCTGGGAGAAAGCCTGCCGAAAGCTGGCATCTAAGCCTCTGGCCAAGGGGGAGAGGACCGCTCTGCTCGGACCCAAGACGTGCACAGAGCCTGTGCACCTAGCTAGCTTCCTCTAGCAGAGTACCTGGGATGCCTTGCTGTGAACCTCTGCCAACATCTCCAACGGCCTGTGGCTTGCAAGAGGTTTTGGCCCCTGGTGGGATGGCAGTGAAGCCTTAGGGAACATTGTTCCCAAGCTTGCCTGAACCTTCAGGAAAGATTCATCAAGGAAGCGGCGGCACCCAGTCCCCCTCTCACAGAGCTGCCACAGGTGACAGAGAAAGTGGAATTTTCTTGGGATCCTGTAGGTTCAGACAGATGGTCCCCCGAGACTTTGCAGGAATCAGGCTGGGAGGGTGAAGGATGCATGCCAGGAGGAGGAGGACAAAGGAGACATAGAAAGGCAGGCCCCCACATCACTTCGGACCTGCTTAACAGCTTCCTCTCCCTCCAGCTCAAGATTTTCAGAACATCTGTATTCTTTCTACTTACCACCGACTTGCGAATGCTGACACGAGGCTTGGGGATGGGTTTGGAGGGTTTGTTTTCAAAGCTTTCTGGAAGTGTAGAGGAATGCCCCCCTTTTCTTGCTTGTAGTGCAAGTTGGTAAGCAACTTCAAATGCCTGACCCAGTGTTAGGATGATTTCGTAGGCTAAATTCTGCAAGAGAAAAGAGAAAAGCATTTACTGTGGCATACTGCAGGTTGGCCAAGTTGAGTAGCTGAGGAACACTGTGGGAGGTGAACTAGCAAGGACCTTGACCTAGTCCACCTGGTGTGGCAGTGAGTCAGTGGAAATCTGTGAAGAACAGGAAACCCCAGGTCCAATTTAGAGTCTACACGAGGCATTAGTCAGCAATGCGATGCACTGGCTTACGACCACGCTAAGGAGCTGACCCCCAACTTCACCCTATGGGGAGCAGGCCCACACCCCCTGGCCCCAGGAGCCTATTCCATTCAGAGCCTCCCTCGTGGGCAGCTGGTCGGCTCCCAGGCCTTGGAAGATAAGGGGTTACTATGGTCCTTCATCTGAGTTCTGGGAGTGCCTCAGCTGTGCTTGTGAGGACGAGCCCACACACTCCACAGGAGGTGTTCCTGAGAAGTTTGGGTCTTTTTACCTCAAACATCTGTGATTCAGTGAACATCTCTAAAGCACAATCAAAATCTAATTTAGGCGGTGGGGAGAGGCATTAGTCATGCTGGTGTGGTGTCTCACAGTTCCAGCAGCCAGCATGCAAACAGAGCCAATTATCCATCTATTTCTTGAGGCGCTTGCTCTCCCTGTGGGTCCACTTCCATATTTTATCATCAAATCAGCAAGAGACGGGAGAGTCTGTCAGGCCCAAATGCCATGCCAAGCAGTGACTGGGAGAAAGGTTCTTTTCTTCGGACCTTCAATCACTCCCTTCAAGATGACTTCTAGCTTTCTTTTCTCTTCTCTAGATATGAATCCTTGATTTCTGCCTTCTCTTCCCAGCACAGCTCCACCTGGTCTTCTCTCACTGAGAAAACATGATGTTGTCTGACTCCAGAGAGGCAGGGTCTTGACAATGCCCCTGAGATCACAGCACACCAAAGAGGTAGATGCCTTATCTATCAGTCACAACAGAGAGCTTTCTTAAAATCACTGCACCAGCAGAGAGCAGGCATGGTCTGTCTCAAGTTTTCATTCTGATCAGTGTCCCTAGAATGTCTATTCATGGTTTTTCAGAACAGAAATGGCATTCTGCTTATGCTGCTTTTGCAACTATGCCCCCTCACTCCGGCCCCTCCTCCCCAATCAAGCACACAGAATAGCTCAATTCCCATGATTCTGGGGAGAACTGTTTGGCATTGTTACTACTTGATGAAGACAGTGAAGGAGATACAGGATGGCCTTTGGAGGCCCAAGTGGAAGAAGTCCATGGGTTTCTGGACCGACCAGACTTCAGATCAATGCCAGACTACTGTGGTCTTAGACCCAAGGAGGGAAAATGCCTCTGAGCTTGAAATCTGTTTTGACAGAGGCGGGGTCTTCTTTGAGTGACATGTTAAGAAATGATGGCCCCACAAGACAGACGTGTGCTTGCTGGAGACACTGAACCTTGCACAGCCAACTGAGCACTTCCTGCAATGAGCACTGATCCTGTGTTTGCCTCCAAGGATGAGTCAGACTAGTAAATTAGCAGTGCACAGACAAATGATAGTGGAGGAGGGCTGGCAGATAGCTCCGGCCATCACTGCACAAAGAGGGCTGAACCCTTCGACTGCCTACACTTGGCATCACGTCATCGTCAGCTTTGCCTCCTAGTGCGCATAGGGGACCCCTCTGAAAGGCAGACTGGGGCTTTTGACTTCTGTAGTCTCCATGTGAAGTCATGGGCTCTTGGTCTTGTTCAGCATGACTCTGGAGATGGTTGATGTCCATCCGTCAGGGCTATGTAGCAGATATTCATGCTCTAGGTGGGCAAATGGATGAAGGGAAAGACGGCAGATTCAGCAATTGTATAATGTTCAGCTTTTAGATACCAGAACAGTGGAGCTTAATGAGTGTGAATTCTTTATCATTAACCTAAAAACAAATTCCTGAAAGTGAGATTTACTTAAAGCTCCAGTGTCTTCAAAAGAAAGTCAAAGATGCTCATTTGAGCAAGTGAGATTTTTCACATGACTATTATGGGAAGCCTAAAGGTTTTGAAGGGTAGTGGGTTAGAAGCCCTACTTTTTCATTTTTAATTAGTTCTTGGTGTTAGGAAACTGCTCAAATAAGACACTGAGACCAGACTGTGCCAAATGCCCTCTCCTGGTTTGGCTTGTGTTCTTGATGTCTTGCTTCTCGCTTTATTTTAGAATGCTTTACAGAGTTGTTTTTTCTTTTTCTTTTTTTTTAAAGATTTTATTTATTTATTTGAGAGAGAGAATGAGAGAGAGCACATGAGAGGACGGAGGGTCAGAGGGAGAAGCAGACCCCCTGCTGAGCAAGGAGCCCGATGCGGGACTCGATCCCGGGACTCCAGGATCATGACCTGAGCCGAAGGCAGTCGCCTAACCAACTGAGCCACCCAGGCGCCCCAGAGTTGTTTTTTCTTATGATTATGTAAAGAGTTGGATACGGTTACCTTTCCTATCTCTTACGTTGCCTCAATGTTTGAGGTATTGATTCTGGAAGCCAGGGAGGGCCCATGGGCATGAGGAGCAGCTGGTTCTGATGGGGCTTCTAAATGCTGAGCGCTGTGTTACTGACATACCGGGGCCCCTGAGGGGAACACTCATCAGGTGGGACCTGCTGACACATGTCTAGATGGGGAGGAAGATTCATTTCTCTTGCCTCTCCTCAGTAACAGTCCCACTATTTAAATGGGAGGATGGTTACTGTGAGGGTAGGAGTCTCTACTAGGACGAGACCAAAAATTAATACTGCAGTATCAGAGAGGCTTAGGTGACAAGCCTTGCTACCTCCTTTGAGCCAGGCTTGCTGACCCCAGTGATGCTGGCTGGCACTGAAGAGCTAGAGATGCCTCAAAAACCTGAAGGCCCAATTACTCTCTGTTTTCAATGTATTATAATCTTTGCAACTGTGGGGAGGTCAGTGCCTGAGACTATGCCTGACACACCACAGGCACTCAGTAAATGCATGCTAAATGAATGAATGAATAGGCAAAGGACAAATGAGAGAAATAGCACTACTACAGTTATACTATATAGAGTTATTACTGTAGGTAGCATAGCTACCTTTAAGTAAGGACTTCACAGGTATTAGGAATTGAGTATGCCAAGCACTAGATTTATCTCATTTAAGTATTACCACAGTTATCTGCAAAATCTCTTTATCCTTATTTTATAGATGAGGACATTGAGGCTCAGAGAGACTAGGTAACTTACCTGACATCACAGAGCTAGAAAGTTACAGAGCTGTGATGTGAACCAGTATTTGTGACTCAAAGCCCATGTTCTTACCCCTACCCACATGTGGTAGCTTGTCTCCAAGACGGCTGCCATCCATTCCACTGCCCTGTGTCCACGCCGTGACCTTCTATGAAGAGGGTGAGTCTGTTTCTCCACCTCCTTGAATCTGGATTGGCTTTCCTGACTTTCCCAATTAGCAGAGTATTGCAGAAGTGACATGCTGGGACCTCTGAGATTTGGTTGTAAGGAGTCTTGTAGCTTCCATCCAGGCCTCTTGAAACACTCTGAGGGAAGCCAGCCATGTGTAAACATTTGACCACCCCGAGGTTACCATGCTATGCAAATGTCCAAGCTAGCCAAATGGCAGAGGCTGCCTGGAAAGAAACAGCAGTTGCAGTCATCCCAGGTACATAGCGAAGGAGTCATCCTGGACATTCAGTCTCTAGGAGACACCACACGGGGAGGACGCAAGACCCCAGAGAGATGGCCCTAGTAGAGCTGTCCCAACATCAGCAGCCATCTGAGCCACCTCAGCGGAGGCCCCAGGTATCGCTGAGCAGAAAAGAGCAGAGCTGCCATATTCTGCCCAAATCCCTCACTCACAGAATCATAATGAAATGGATGTTCTTCTGTGTCACTTAAGTTTTGGAATGGCTTGTTAAGCAGCAACAGATAACTGGAACACCATTCAGTGTTGAAGAAGGCTGGCTGGCTCCTCGTTCAGGTAGCAGGAAGAGAACTGCCAGCCTCTGAGCTGGGATGAACAGTATGTAGTCGTGGGGAGTCACTCCTGGAACCACCCCACCCTCAGCTCTGGCTGTGGGGAAGCTAGATGCCTCCTGTGACCCATCCTGGTCACAGCACCACAGTAAGCACTAGGGTGTCCCTTCACACATATTAGCCCAAACCACAGAGCTGGAATGTCCTTCTAAGTTGGCACAACCATGTTCTCATCTCTAGTCACTACCTCCCTTGAGCATAAATTCAAACCCCTTCAGCTTTACGTTCACTACGTTAACCTGGCCTGTCTCTGACCGTGGCTCTTTCTGCCCCTCCTGGCTTATTGGAAAATACCTGCCTTGGCTTTTCCAGCATGAGTCTCTTTCTAGAATCACATTTATTATGGCAATTGGTCTTGAGCATTTTCTACCTTACAAAGACCACCAATGAAAGCGGGTAGCCTGGGTGTGTGCATGCATGTTTGGTACAGGCGTGGGGGATGATGACTGGGGACAGCATGCTCTGAGCCTCATTTTTCTTAATTTAAAAATGGGGATGATAACATGCAGTAGTGACTTCACTGGATTGTTTCGAGAATCACTCATGATTACACTTAACCAATGACAATTTCAGCCAACATTATTTTCTGTGTGCCATGTACCATAGGACATGCTTCACATGGACTCTCTCATTGAATCCTAACAACAACAACAACCCTGTAGGGGTTATAACAGTGGGGCTATTATTCCTATTTCACATGTGAGAGAATTCAGCTCAGAATGGTTAAATAACTTGGTCATGAAGCCAGCACAGCAGAGCTAGGATTTGAATCCAGGTGTTGGTAGGCCCTGCTCTTTTTTTTTTTTTTTTTAAAGATTTTATTTATTTATTTGAGAGAGAGAGAGAGAGAAAGCATGAGAGGGGAGAAGGTCAGAAGGAGAAACAGTCTCCCCACTGAGCCAGGAGCCTGATGTGGGACTCGATCCTGGGACTCCGGGATCATGACCTGAGCTGAAGGCAGTCGCTTAACCAACTGAGCCACCCAGGCACCTGGTA